GCTTGGGATCTCTGCCTCATGATAAGAACAGTCCAGATCCACTTCGACGCGCTCAGTTACTTCACTTCTTATATTTTTTGGATGTTTCTCTGAGCAATTATGGTGCCTCCGACATTTTCTTCCGATTCTGATAAAGAAAGTCCACCGCTGGTCCTTTGTAAAGGTATTTTTCAGGTTTAATCAGTAGATCGTTGAACTCGGTATGGTGGGCTGTGGTGAGTTGACTATCCAGGAATCTGTTCATAGATTCCTAACTTAATAATCTGGTGTTTTCTTTTTTAATTGTTGACATTTGCAATCGACTTCAGTCATGTTGCAGATTCTCAGTACTACAGTTTTTATTTTACCCAGACTAATTCTGTCTGAAACGTTAAAAACAGTTGCATTTCTCAGTCTAAACATTCGTTCATGCACCTCTGATGCGACACATGCGATTAATTGTTGGGTATTTCTGGTAAATTTATGAGTTGTGTTTCTAGAGACTTGACCTTGTCATTGAATTATGAAATAGGATCAGCGTTTGGAGTAGAATATGCTGCTGGTGCTTTTAGGGTCATATTTTCTTATTTTGCCTTGTTCGAGTAGTGTATGAAACGCTGCCTTTTACTTGTCGATTAATGCTAGGCCTTATCGGTGACATGGTAACTTGGAGACATCAACATGATGAGGCAGCTAGATGGTGGAGTTCCACGGAGCAGCTGTAGAGAAAAAAACACCTAGTTGGGCTCTGCAACACTCGACCTTTAGGCTAAGTACCGAGGAAACAATAGACAGATGTATCGTACGCGATGAAATCCAACCGGTTTTAATTTCACTCTAGTAACTTATTCACGATGGTCGTTGCCGTCCCCCGTAGCTCAGTGATCTCAACCACGGACTGGCAACAGTCGAGTTGCGGTTTCGAGCCCTACCAAGGGTCCGATGCAATGCGCACTGCTGATGATTCCCGAAAGGATGAAACGCGCGTACAGTGCTTTTCCGGGCTTGTGGCGGCTGTCTGAGTGAGCCTAGATGTGACGGAATTCTACCTATACCATTCAACTCCCCCTCCTACTCTTCTGTAATTCAAGATCAGTAGGCGTGACTTGCTGGGTACGTCACCTTGCTTTAATCGATCAGCCGAGTGTGGCCATTCCGCCACTTGGTCTACCACTTCCCAAAGAGGTGAGAAGGAGCGAGATAAGACCGACCTGCTCTGACTTGACACCGCCGCACCGCAAGCTGGTTTCCGTTCACACGTTTGTGGAAAAGCCACACGATCACATGGCTGCCGGCGTGAGGTGTTGTGTCTTGTTGCCTGGCCGGCAGGGCGGGTATTTGACACGAGAGCAGGGTATATTGGTCGTCTTCGACCGAGGAAAGTGGTCAGCCGATACGGTCGGCCAGCTGACGGTGTAGATGGAAGAACATCTAGCAGTCTCAAAAATGGCTACAACTACTGAATGGAATACCAGAAAGGGATGAGTAATGACTTGCTAGAAAGCCATATGTTTGCTTGTCCGAGATATACTCGGAAATTAGGGCGGTTTTGTGCATGACTATGACAAACCTCCTTCGACATCGGTAAGACGCTTTGGGTGCTGAGGCGATGAAATAATTCCTACGCTAGGTGGTCCACTAGATAGAACTGGTAATTCCGAGTCAGATGATTGGAACTTGGTTGGTGTGTGATGAAATTGGTGGGGAAAAATCCACTACAAAGTGGAGCATAGAGTGATCGAAAAAGATTTACACAGTTTTCACAAAAATCAATAGATATCCTTCCCAACTCTCCCCGCAAAGGATATGAGCACACAAAGAGGAATTGAATGATGTGTACTAATCCATGATCCGTTGAGATTGCACGTGCGGAACAGGCAAAATATCAGAGCTTCGGTTTTGCGTCCGTCATATGGTCTGTAAATGAAACCAGAAAGTACTACTAAAAAAACTTTGACATTGTTGTTAGTAGCCTATCCGTTATCACTGAACTTACGAGACTTTCATCATCTATACTCCAAAAGAAATCCAATATATCTTTGTAATACTCCGACTTCGCTACCACTATCCTGCCTGAAATAACCAATCCGATTACTGCTCTTGAACACTAAGTTATCACTGAAAACAGTTCCTGAGTTTAGCACTAGTTACCATAAATCCCTCATTCTGTAAACTACTTAGTGAGTCAGTAAATGTAGTATTAGACCGGCTATGTACGTCCGAGACGCGAAAACGCCTGCGTAGATCGCAAAATGTCATTACCTTCAATGTGCTCGGCAAGCTGAGTATCTAGTCTTGAAAACACTCTTCTGGCCGCATACAATACGGGTGAAGTCAGCTTTTCCTATCCCAGATTGCGAAAGAAGACACATAAACTCATGTCCAATACTGTTGAACATTCCAGTCGATTCGCACCCAATGCAATTCGTATTTTTATTTTTCTAAGTTCGCCCCGGACACATACAAACTTGGTCTCGTGACCCCGAAATGTTTTAAGCTGAGGAGCTTCTTCGGAAGACTTTACTCTCAAATGGGTATTATGTAAGGTTCATTCAAATCCAAAGCACTCCTCTCAGGAAGAAAACACGCGCTAACGGTATAGGAGAAGAATGCCTACCTGTTCTTACCTTTCAAGGGAGACCATTTAGCAAATGATATCAGACACAAGCCCCGGTCCACCGTAACGCGCACTTACACGACTGCCCAGTTGCGACTCATGCATACCACGCGATGCCATGTTTTTCATAACCGTCAGAGTATTTCGTTAGGCAGTTCGGTCTCTCGCGTTGTTTATCAGTTCAGCTGCAGTTGCGGTGACATTTACATAGGCAGGGCTGACCGTCAGTTAGTTCAGAGGGTAGCTGAAGATTTGCCACAGTGGTTGGGACAACTAATGACGGAACAAAACTGATCGGAGCCCGGCATCGTCTATCATCAAGCGCCTCATGGTGAATCGTCATAATGTGAAGCTGGAGACCACCTTCAATATGTTATTGCGTAACGAAACCCGACAATATTGGTAATTAGAGAGGCGTTGCTAATTAATGCCAATCAACCTGTGCTATGTGTACAGAAACTCTCGAGGCAATCAAGTGGTTTGCGTTGGTCGTGACTGTGACTTTTTGATCTGTGTTGCTCATTTTTCCATGTGTATGTATGTGTGTTTCTGCTTGTATTATGTTTGCGACTAAAGAGAACAACGGGGTTTTTGTCATATTGCGATCTCCTCTCTCTACCTTGACGAAACGATTAATTGTCGCAAGAACTAACTTCGAAAATTATAAATTCAGACACCCCTTCAATTACGACTAGCCCATAAGGATAGCCACTCAGCTCCTCGAATTTCACATGTTCACATTAATCAGACCAGTAAGGATGTAGGGCTCAGTACTGTCGACTTTGACAGGTTAGCAACATCATTCAGACCAGATGATACCTTGCGTCTCGGTCAGGAGCAGTTGTGATGTACCCCTCCAACAGCACCGAGCAAAGTGAACATGTACCTGGTAATGAGACGCCCGCATGTCATACCTCTGCCTCCCGTGTCCATTCTAGCTTACATGAACCTGAGCAAAATGTGGCGGTAGCCGCAACTGCGACATTTCGATCTCATCAGAAACCTCATACTTGCGTCACTAATAACAAATCCGAACTCGGCCCAAATGACAAAGCATCTTATGGCCTGTTGGCATGGAGCTCCATGCTTTACAACTTCCCTGGCCAGCTAGAACGTACGATGCTGAGGTCGATTGTCACAGATCAAGCTCGGTACCATGCAACCGACCTGTCAGGTCAAAGGTCAACTTTTAGCCTCCCTCACTGAACCGTTAACTAACTATATAATTTGAGCCAATGAGTCGATTTCAGTTCCTTATTTTACCCTTAGATATGATTGTAATGATCTGAAGAGGATCATCGAAAAGAATTCTTCACCTATAGTCTCGTGTTCTTTTTAACTAAATGTTTATGTAGTCTATCGCTACTGCTTCATTTAATGAAAGGAAGTGCAGTTTGGAATTTAGTGATCCTTAGCGTAATATTATAGACTATCACTATTTCTGCAAAGACTTTTCACATGCACGCGTTTGTGCTTGCACCATATTTCTTCGTAATGGTCTTGCTGCGCTTTCCACTGATCAAGCTGCTCTCAGTGATCCGGAAAATCCACTGTAGCCGATGATCCCAACTATTTATCTTTTAGCTGGACATATCTGTCGTCCGCCACTCACTATGAAACCTAGCAACTAACTTTTGTGAGCAATACTGCCTCCAGGTTCACCTAAAAGTTCAAACTTGTGTAAGACGATTTCAACGTACCACCTGTTAACTGGCTGTAGTCTACACGTATGGCCATCACGGGGTTTGTGGAAGTAATCTGCTATATCCACCTCATGCCTAGACCCAACATGTCGGGGTGCTCCCCAGAAGTACCTGCGTCATTCACCATTAGTGCGATGCACCAATCTATGAAAGGAACCGCCTCGATAGGCACATGCATGTGCAAACCTCGTCACATTCCGAACAACTCTATGGACGTCTCCCACTATACCGAGTGCGTTAAACTCATTTGGCTCACAGCGATCTCTGGGATCTGGTCTAAACAGCATATGAGCAGCTAGAAGCCTACCTCTTACCATCACCCATACAGCAGTACTTCTATATGTGCCACCTACTCGTTTCTCTCCTACTATTGACTACTCCCAGATTTCGCTACGCTGTAAATTTGAAATCAGTGACACAAACATTCACACCAAATGAATGCGTTGCAAGCGATCGGATCGATCATCTATGAAACAACTAATACGCTAACTATGCGAACTTTCATGGCCTGGCAATATTTTATTGTTTTCAGGCACGCTAACTATAATAGCTCTCCTGTGTACACATGATTGTGCCCACGTAGGGATGATGTACCGAGTTGTCAAGTTATACAATTTATTTATATATTTATTTTGATTTGCATCCGTTCTGTTTTGACCAATCATTCACGTATCTTCCGCCTACCTTTCTCCTCCCTTCAGACCGGTGTTGGCCTTGTCTTTGGCACCTTTCTTTGTGCCCCCATGATGTTCATCTTGGCTCGTACTGTTACAATGTATTTAGCGGAGCCGTCACAGTACGATCATTTGCTAGGAAACACAATCACTGGAGTTTCCTGGCTAAGTGTGGCAGGTTGTGTAAGTCATTTTCTGTTGTGATTTTTTCCCAGTTTGCATCTTTTTACTACTATTTTCGATACCTAAAGGGCTTCTAGGCTGACAAGCGTTTTTCAAACACACGGAATAGCTCTTGTTCGCTTGCTCTTGAAATCGGCCCGAGTATTCACTCATCAGAAATATGAACATCCGCAACTCATGGGAATCGCAAGTCATCACACATCCGTCTGACTAGCTCTTTATGCTAGAGCTTTTTCTTGTTAAATCTTATGCGTACTGTGTAGCTAAACTGTTAGGTTTTAGCACATTTTCACCGGCGCATCCATTCCAAAAGTCCTCACCCTTTGGGAAGTCCCAGATTCGGGTCCTCATTCATGTTTTCAGAGGACCGGGTTACTCGCCGATGGGTACCTATTCCTTCCACTCATAAGTCACCTACTTGAGGGCTTGTGTTCCAGATCATCGTTTCACTCTCCTTGCAACGCGTGACTGTGCCTCTGAGCTGGCGCGTCCGTCGCACTTTGGGTCGCACGATGACCTTAAGTAGACTACATCGCAGTTCGCCGATCTATTCTTCTAAGGTAGGGTGCACAACGCTGTAGACTCTTATGCATTAGGGACGGGGCTAGTACGCATTGAAAACTGATGGACTGGTTGTCCTGGATCATCGATGCCCGCGAAGCATCCCCCACGTCCGGTGAATACACCGAGTGCCTAGTGGGATTCGCAGTAACTGCGCACCGCATAAGTTATTCAGTCGAACTTTGTCCGTCTAAGCTCAATAGGTCACGTTATTCAACTGTCTCTCTCGCCCATATTTTTCGTCTCTGATGTACCTGGTTTCAGATAGATCAGCCGATGACTTGGCAAATGTGCTCGAGTAATCGAACTCAGTTAGTGGGTGCCACTTTCTTGGATGTACTTCTTATTTACTCCAAAAGGGCTTTCCATATACAATCCTTTCTGTTCTTGGGTCTCTCTACTGCAGCTTCTAACTCCAGTCATGAATTTATGGGAGACTATCCCCTGAGTTTCTCACTACAAGTGTGTTGCACTAAGTTTGCCCTATATCTTCTTCCCTCTTCAACTTTGTAATCGAACTAGTCATGACCGACCCTATATTCCTAGTCTCTTCTGGAGCGAAACTTCTTCCAGGCGGCTAACTTGCAAACTTGAGCCTACAGACAGCATAGCTCTCTTTTGGTCGAATGTAATGGCTGCGCAAGCACTGCAGAATAGGCTAACATGTAGCGCCACACGTTTCGGTATGTGCCTCACAGTTTTGCTTCAGGACTGAGTCGATTCTAGCTGTCACCGAACAGCCATTTGAAATGGTCGATCGGTTCACCTTTGGTACTTACATAGCTAAGTGTGCTACTTCGCGTATCAGCTATCCACAGATTCAACCATCTGTGGAGACTGCGGCTGATGTTACTGTATGGATCAGTGACCTGGATATTGCGCGCTGATGTCGCTGGGGGTTCAGTCGTCTTTGCTCGCCTGTGTTTGCTGTGTGTCGTTTACATCTGGTGAGAGAACCGCGCGAGCAGTGCTGAGGCGCTTAGGTTGACTAGGTCATGTACTCCGTATGCTCACTGACCGTCTTCCTCATCGTGCATAACGTGGTGTTAGTTCGCCTAGTTGGGTACAAATGCGAGGTTAAGCTGACCCGTGCTCTCTTCGTGAGTGCGGACCTCGGGATGGGCCACATCACTGGCTGCAGGCTCTGTCGGGCATGGTTCAGTCGCACAGTCAGTTGCTCATTGGCATTTCCTTTCCTTCATCTTTCCATTACTATTGCAGCTTGTTTACCTCCCTTCTCCGTATTCCTCTCTCTATTCTTTGTTTTTTGTTTATTTTTGTGCCGTCGACGCGAGTCTTGGCAACTGAGTCCAACGCATTTCGTGGTCGCTTAACACGACTACGATGAACTGTGCTGCATTGAATATAGTCAGCTAGGTCAACTGCGCCAACGGCTAGAAGCGCCATCGACACAGTCACGAACATTTACCGGCACTATTCCATTCTTTCCTTCGCTTCCGACTCATGAGCGTCTTGTTTTGCGTAATACATCTTCCTGTTTATATTTTTCCATACCGCTTTTGCTTAGTATTATTATGACGACCCTGGTCAAGACCACTTGCCCCACTGCATCCTGTCTCACAGATCGTGCTTGCTCTGCTGGACGACGCGCCCAGCAAATCTTCGCGTATTGCCCACTTTATCGCTCTTGTGACACACAACGTGAGCTTACTTCCATCTCTCCCTTGCGATCGGCTGTACAGACTCTGTACGTCCAGCGGATTCCACGAGAAATGTTTAACATTTTCCGTCGGAATATGAAACATGGAATTGCTCTGACTACCTGGAATTTCAACGAGGCGTGCCCGACCGTACATCCTTAGTTCTTTTCCTACTTCTATTGTTGGTTACACGCACAAAACACGATTGTTTTGAGTGTCCGCGCGCCTGAGAAAAATCGATCGGCTTATGCTGACCCCGTTAATAGTCACTGTAGCATTCATACGGAACATGTTCTGTCAATTCAGTTGTGCCCAATCCACATATCCCATCTGGTTCAGTTGTATTGAGCAGCCAAAATCCGAGAAGTAACAACTGCGATGAATTCAATTGCTGTGGTTGCAGTGTACATGAATCTCTGAAGAAAACATCTGGTCAAATAAAACGTAGACGATATAGCCTCGTGTGATGGTGCGAAAGTAAAGCCACGATGTGAGCACTGCTAAGAGAACACTTTGTCCCTTTGTTCTCTACGCAAACTCGAATCGCAGCGTTACAGTACTTCGTTTTCATTGCTTTGTTGTTTACTTCATCCTCGTTGAGACTGGCGTACCACAAACTGCGCAATTTGTTGCAAATCGGTCACACGTATTAATTGCCTGAACGCTAGAGACCCTATCGATCGATATCTGTTGCTTATCAGAAACGCGCTCGCATTACCTCACCGATATCAGTCGGTGATTGGAATTGCAGTTCTTGTTACTCGATTGGAGAATCTTGGTCGCACATGGTCCAAATAGCGCCACACGATCTGGCCACTATCAGTTTCTGCTTCTACGATCTGTCCGTTAGTTGTTTTGACGAAGGCTGCCTTCCACCCAGAATCTGTAGGTAACGGCCATAAAGTGAGTCTGACTCTGTCACAGTTCTGTCCATGCTACAATTATCCACATGTACCTTCACCCGTTGTTGACTTTCAGCAACTTGTGACTCAATGGTCCCATGCAGTAAATCTAATCGTATACGCAAGCCACGACCAAACATTATGACTCTGCCGGACTTCTACCGGTTGTCTCGTTTGGCATGTTTCGGTACACGAACAGGGAACGGCCCAAACGCACACGCAGTTGAGCAAGTGAACATTCCTGGGGGTCGATGATTGTGTGCGTCGATTGAACGGACAGACAGTCTAAAGCATCATCGAAACCATGCACGGTTACTAAAGTAACTCAATCGCTTCGACGAGATCTACTGGTTACGGAACGAGTGACTTTCCTCCGACAGCTAAAGGGCTCATTTATGCGAACAATACGCTATAGGATAAACATTTTGTTTTGTTTCCGCTTCATGGATCCTCTAGCCATTGGCGCGGGTTCCCTAAGGATATGCATATGACTATCAGGTGGTCAGGGCACATGGTCCTGACGTAACAGTTGGACTACTTATCATTGCGTTTGGCTATCAAACAGGTTACTACCCGTTTCCCTAACTATTTAGCATATACGGCGCGACCTAAAAATATCTAATGCTTAATTTCTCTTTAGGATCTGGAATATTTCAGTTACTGTTTATCCTTGTGATCTGCAGCAAATCACGCGAATCTCGGTGACCTAGACGTCAGTCGCCAACCACTACATTCCGAGTACTATTCCCAGCTGCGGATATCTCTGCCTCTTATGTCCAAATGTGGACAAATCGATC